AAATGAGCGAAAGGCCCTACTCCTAAGAAGCGAAAGTTGACAAAAGTAGCCCAATCACCTCCACCGAAGAAGAAGAAAACACAACCAAAGCGTAAACTTGTTCTTGCTTCTTCCTCGAGTGATTCAGACGATGAAGGTTCAGAATCTGAAGAGTCAATTCGAGGCGACTCTCCTCCCCGTTCTCCTATACATGAGGTACCTGTTGTAACCGAACCTATTTCTTCTCCACCTATCACCATATTTGTTTCCATTCCGATCATAACCTCCTCTATTTCTATTCCCCCATAACTACCTCTACTCACATTCAACCTACTTCTATTCCTATACCACCACCCATTTTCTCTGAAGCCACCAAAACAACAGCCACTAGAGTTTGAACCAATGTATCTGATACAGGGGATCGTACTTCAGCACCCGAACCAACACCTACACCCGAACCAACTTCAGCACCCGAACCTACTCCCACAACTGGACCATCCACCTCACCCTTATCTCCCACTCACTCAGCTGAAACCGAGACACTTCTAGGAGGGGAAGATATGACCTTCGATTCCATTTACTATAGCCCTTACTAGGTTCAAAGCGATGATGATGATGCTCTTGTCACCAAAAAGCACATCAAGGAACTCCACGAGAAGATTGATAATCTCGTAGCTTCTTCCTCTTCCTCAACATCCCATATCTCGGAAGCTGCCATTAAGGGGATGGTGGACAGTTTCACCAAGGCACATGAAGCCTCAATCAACTCAGCTACTGTTGCCATCGACAAATCCACAAAGGCTTGTGTTGCTGCGACCAAAAAAGTCGAAAAAATATTTCAAGATGCTAACATCTTTGTGGAGTCTTTGTAGGGGCAGCCGAAACTAATGCCAAAAAGGTTCGTTCGGTTGTGGAGAAGCTGTCCACTTCCCTAGAAACAGAAAAACAGCACTTCGCCAGTCTTCCTCAAACCCTCAAAGAAGACAACCAATCTTTTCAGTCATCCATTGAATATCGTCTACTCAAATTCCAACAAACCCTTGCAACGGATTCTTCTTCACGTGATGAGCTTGCTCGCAAAACATCTGAGCTCCAGCTTACAAGTCATCAACTCTCTCAAGCAGAGAAGGAGGTGGACTCTCTTCGGTCAGAGAAAGATGTAATCAAAAGTTGTGTTTCGGATGTCCACGGAGCCCTCTCCAATATCATTGAATCCTATGATCCGATTCTCAACTACTCGTTGAGGTGAACTCTTGCTGAGAAGCTTGCTCCTGCCATTTCCTTGCATAGCCGAATTGAGGGGCTTCCTGAGCAGGTGGACCATCCAAAACAAGGAGGAGAAAGACTTCAAAGGGCACAGCTCAATCTCAACCTCCTCTTATTTCCAAAGCTCAATCTCAACCACTTCCAGTCTCTTCATCAATTCCACCTAAAGCAACCGAACCAACAACTGTTCTTGCATCAGGTTCGGGTGCTCAAGACAAAGGAAAACAAGTTCTTAATGATAGTGATGGAAGTGAAGATAAAGAAACTATTGCCGACATTTTGAAGAAATAGGCCAGGGAGAAGGAGCTTGATACAAATGCTCGAATTGCTAGGGAGCCGAAGCTAATGAAAGGAAGATAAAGGAGGCTCATGATCTCTTTGAAAGTCGAAAAACCCTATTTCCTCCTTGGACTCTTGAAGATCTTGTCAAAGAAGCTATCGAGTCCCCCAGCATCCTTTGACTTGAACCTGTGATCTCCTTGGACCGTGTCAATTCGATTGATTCTCAGTTTGACATGCCCTTGACCCGAAAGGCCTTCATCTTTCATGCATTCTCCTACATAGCTAAAGTCCCTCATCCTCACCCGAAGGTTGATAGGGAACTTATCGAATTCTATCTGAGGACTGGTCAACCTCAGTATCAGACATGGAGTGCACAAAAGATAATCAACGTTTGGGTTCTCAAATCTGTTCGGGAGGGTAACTTCACAAATGTTAGATTCAAGGTCTTGAGGGGGTCTAACAAAACCGAACATGCCATCTCTCTCGCTGATCTTCCCAGTCTAAATCCTCATGACTGGATAATCCTGCACAACATTCTCCTCATCAATGAAATAGAATATGGGCCGATCATAGATCATTTCAAGAGTATGTTGGTATGCTACATTTTGGAGGTTGCGAAGTTGGATCAAGAAGTTGCAAGTGTCCTCAGAAAGAAGCCTACTATCACTCCAGTTGGTTCTGCAAGCGATTTGAATAGAATGGAGATGGTGAAGATTGACCCAAAGCGAAACTCAGTCATGTTCACCAGGACAGAAGGTCAGAAATGCTTATTCGCTTTGGCTGACAAACATCTTTACACCACTTCCTGCTTGGAGCATGTTCTGGGAATCATCAATCGATGCAAGCAGAATTCTGAAAGTGATAAGAAATACTTCAACGACATGATCAACTGGTATATTCATTTCCGACAAACACTTCTGGCCATTATTACATGCTTGTTCAAGACTGTGAAGAAAGCTGGTGCTGCAGGTGCAAGTAAGCCGAAGTAAGGTCTCGCCCCAATTGACGCAAAGGGGGATTGGGCTTGTCAATCCATGATTTAATATTTAGTGTTTTAGTGTTTATAGATGCTTGCATGCATCTTGATACGTAGCTGTTAAGTCGATCATTCATAACATTTTTGTTTTTATCAATTGTAACCATAAAAGCCTCTACAGCGGAAGTTCTTCATCGAGCTCTGCTGAGGCGTGAATCTATTGAATCCTTCAGCTCATTATTGGTTCATTCTTTTGTTTGTTATTTTGTTTGCATGATTCTGATAAACCTGTGTAAGATCTAATCGATCAAAGAGTATTTTCATCTCATCATATATATTGTGAGGTTCAATAGAGAACCATAATTAACCAATGAACCAATGAACAACTCTTTTTTTCAACTTTTAGAACTTATTTTTTACCCAAAAAAAACTAAAAATACAGAAATTCATAACTTTTTATCATTTTTCCAATAATATCAAATTTAATTTTTCTACGTCAAATTAACAATGTGAATTTTTGAAAATTCACAACGTGAATCCATATTCAAACGGTGAATCCGAAAAATATTTTTCACATTGACAATGTTATTATATGAATTTAGATATTTTTAAATTTTTTTTCGATAAAGAATAAGCTCTACAAATTGAAAAAAAAATTTGATTTCTTGAAGAACTAATAATTATGGTTTTCTATTGAATTATATATATATATATATATATATATATATATATATATATATATATATATATATATATATATATATATATATATATATATATATTAAAATTTTAATATTATTACAAAAAATAAAAATAAAAATTTCTATAAAATCATAGTTTTCTTTAAAGTACTTAGGAGTGTATTATTTTATTTAATGAAAATATTCAAAAAATTTATGGGTTTATTTTAAGATTTTGTAATTTATTTATAATTAAAAGTTGATTAAAAAATTAATTAAAAATAAAATATGAAAACACATTGATTAATTCCGTCGGATAATAATGTCGAAATAGAAAGAATGGGATGCATCAAATAGTTATACACATATAAATTAAAGATTATAAATTATATGCCGCGGTCGTTTCTCCAAACCTCCGAAACCACCAAGTCACTGTCATCGGACCACCCTCGACTACTATGTTGCCGCTTTGTCGGACCATTGTTTAATACTATTTGTTTACGTATTCCGATTAGCTTATATAAAAGTCCAACAATCGAGGAACTGAATAAGTTATTATTATTATTTTTAATTTTATCCTTAAGTTTAGAATGAGAAAAAAGAAATTATATATATATATATATATATATATATATATATATATATATATATATATATATATATATATATATATATATATATATATATATATGCAGTTAGAATATATTACAAACTAATTATTAAAGGACATTACAAATAAATGTAAATGTAGGTGACCACACAAGAAAAAACAAAAGAATTATGTTATTAGAAAAAGTAGGTAATAGTCGAATAGAAAAAAAAAAATTGAAATTAAAGAAAAAAAATAAAGAAAAAATTGTAGAGTCATAAGGCTCCCAATGATAATTAGTCAAAATTCTAGATTTAAAAGAAATAGAAATAGATAGGTGTGAACTACATTGGTTTGTAGAAAAAGGGGAGGATTGATTTATGTTGCACCGATGGGGATATTTTGTTACCTTCGATAGGTTGCTCTAAGATAAGAGTTATGTTAGGACGAGAGGGAGCTTTGTTTAGGTCCAACAAATTATTGGGTTTGGAGCGATGTAATTTAATCGATGGAGATATTTAGGCCCACCTTCTTCTATGACCCGATGAGCTAGGAATCCCAGATAATCCACGACCTAATGATGTCGGCTGTGGCAACAAAATTTCTTAGTGATTTTCGACAATTTTGGAAAAACATGGTGACTCCTCGGCTACTAGGACGGAGTTACTAACGTGTGACTCTTCCCCTTCCCAATGTCGGATCTGGTGCGCATCTGCTAGAGATGATTTTGGTGACAGGGAGCCGTCTTCTGATTCAATGGCTACATCACTATTGAGGCTGTTATTTTCACCAATGCTACTAGGGGTGTCAAGTTATGACACGACACAACAAAAATACACGAATCGAGACGAAATCGAGACGAAATAAAAATCCGAATTCGTTTTCATGTCGTTTTCATGTCAAGATTAAGAAAACGATGCCGTTTCGTGTCGTGTTCGTGTTCATTAATCGACATGAAATTGACACGATTAAGAAAATGGTTGTCGTGTTTTTCGTGTTTGTTGTTTTTGTTGTGTTATATATCTTTAAGTATGAATGAAATACACTAATAGTTATGTAATATTATCTTTGTCATGTCGTGTCGTGCTGTCGTGTTTTAATTGGTTCGTTTTCGTGCTAATGAAAAAAAAACACAACATCGTGGCGTGTCGTGTTCGTGTCATCCAAAACTTTGTCGTGTCGTGTCATGTCAGACAAAAACACGACATGACTTCCTAATTTGACAGCCCTAAATGCTACCTTCATCCCACCATATCATCTTTTGATAGAAATCATTAGCTGCAAGAACAGGGCTAAGCTTAAGTGATTCAAAGATATCCTCCGTGATATTGATCGTATATGGCATTCCATCCACTAGGATTGTGATTGTAGAGCTGATGATTCCGAGGTGAGATGTAAGAATTCCAACCCTCCCAAAGGCCATGTTAGGAGAATCTGTACTACATTCGTCTAGGATGACTACCGTTCCCCAAGTATTCACAATGATACTGAAAGCCTCTTCACACCATTGAAATTGCATGCTGGGGGTACTCCCTAGATAAATAGAGAAGCGATTCTTTCATTGAAATTACATTCCATTGGCTAGTTTGTGAGGTTTTTGAACCATGGTTTCCAAATCTCTCTACCATTGTTTATAAAATCTTCTTTTTCTTTTAAATTTCCAAATTCAAGTAACATTTTCAGACCCCAAATATCTTAACTGGATCATTGGACATCCTTCGACTTCCTAGAAAGCTTTCATATTCATAAGGGCCTGGACGTTTTCTACTTCCCCACCAGAATATTATGCATGTATTCTTTTAACCTAGTAAAAGATAGCATGCTGATCATTTTCCCTTTAGATTTTGACCCTTCATCCTCCTTGTTCATTTTTTCTGATCCATCTATGTCAATTGGTTTTGTCCCCCTGATAGCATTGACAAAAGTTTTAGTGTTTGCACATGATTGCATTGCTAGAGTTGCTTTATACTCTGCGTAACTTGTAGATTGCTTCTTTGATTCACTTGCTCTTTCCTATCAAACCGTGCTACATTGACTTTAATCTTCTGAGCTCTAATGTAGATCTCATTTAGTCATTTCTCAAAGGTGAGAACATCTTGGACACGGAGGAATGTAACAAATCCAAAGTTCTTATTGAGGTGATTCAACTTCTTGGCGATATAAACATCGACAACTGTCGTGTATCTGTTGAGCATTCACCATAATTTGGATCCATTCTAATCAGTTGGAAAATCTTGAAAGTAGAAAGTAACAACATTGTCGTTGATGTCAAAGCCTCTCCCGTGATTTTTCCTCCGGTGAACATGGCACCAACATTCAAGGTTCTCTCTCTCTCTCTGTCTCTCTCTCTCTCTCTCTCTCTATTAGGTCACTTTTACTCGACTCTTCTAAGTGGTCATGTACCGTGGATACCGATTAATGATTCATTCTAATTGTAATCTTTCAAATTATCAACCAATTCTTTTAAAAATTTAAACATCCAAATCTCATCATTCGAGTAAATGACATAGCAACAATTTTTTTCAAAATCATAAAGCATAATGTCAAATCTAAGTTATGTCATAAAAATCTCTCTAAGCATCAAAATAGCATCACAAAATCGATGTAAATGTACCATCGCATCGACCTCTTTCCTTTCTTACCTAAATAACCTAGAAACCATTTAACTTTACAACTGAAGCACAATGCTTAAAATAACCTAGAAACCATTTAACTTGACAACTTCAGCACAATACTTAATTTGTTTCCAATATATCATATATTCCATTACACATACAATGCATACCACCTTATAGCATATGACCTTCCGTCATTCTTCCAAATTTATGACTTATCACCGATTTGTCATCGTTTGTAGACTTATGGCCCATCACTGGTTGGTCATCACCTGTAGACTCATGACTAATAATGCCTATTTTATGCATATATATATGGTAGTATCTTATTAATTTATGTTATTTCTTGACATTATTTAGAATAAAATGTGCTTAAATTCTTTAAAATATGATATTGTAGGTTTTGTACGTTTCTAGAGTGACAGGAAGCAATAAAGTTGGAAATGGAGCTGGATCGAAAAAGTCTAGAAGGATTGTTAAAACATGTCAGTCACACCGCGCCTTGAAGGTGCCACAACGTGACCTTGCTGAGTCGAGATAAGGATAATGATGAATTTAAAATTTTCACAACTCAAATCCTTATTTATCACAACGTAACATCAATTGATGCCTATAAATAGATGCAAAAATTCGACTTTTTGAGATATCAAAGAACCAAATTAATCTTGGTCGAAAAAGAAACCTCAAAATTGCAGTATTGAGAGTCTTGAAGTTGGTTAGAGGGTCGTTAAGCTGATAAGGATTGAAGATCTAAATGATTAGAGAGCTGATTCATCAAGGTAATAATTCGTTTTGTTGTACTGACAATGATTTAAATTATTCAATATGTTATGTTTATTTGATCAAATACCCTATGTGTTAAAATTTTATTTTTATTACATATTACTATGTTAGTAGAATTTAGATGATCAATCTGGTTTTATTAGCAGGATTTATAATTGTTTTAAGGGCTTGCTATTCTAGATCTGAGTTGTATTGGACGTCTTGAGCATAAAGGTGCATGATTTATGAGAAAATTTGGTTACATGCATACACAAGTCACTTATTAAGTCCCTTTTAAGCTTAAGAGCTTCATTTAGACATGAATCAACATAAATTTGGTAACTTTACGTGGTTTTCTAGCTCAAGGAGGTTAGCTCTATGTTTTGGGGCTAGGTTTTTAAGAATTAAGTGGTTATTGGTTAAGCCTTGTGCTATTATTAAGCCTTAGGGTTTGGGTTTTGGATCCTTTTTGGTAGTCCCTATGAGTAAAGCTAGAAACTTTACCCTTCTAAATATCGTTTTGGTCTTGATCTGGGCTTTGGAGCTTTTGGATTTGAAGAAGGCAACTTAATGTGTTAAGCTATTAGAACTCAGGAAAACACGACGTGTTGGCTGGATTTTCCCCATCTACTTGGATGATGGCGAAACACGACATGTTGTTACTTCAACACGGTGTGTTGGGTCAACATGGACTATTGATCTTGATCTTTGTCTTTGACCAAGGTTGACCATAGGGGAGAGTGTTGATGTATTTTGAGTTATATCTATGGATTGGTTATTGTTTAGGTGTCGGGTAGAGCTGATATTTGGACCAGGGACCTATTTAGCTATTGCTCAGACTCAAATGTGAGTTTCCTCACTATGCTTAGCATGTCGAAGGCACCAATGTCGAAAGAAGATCTGTTATGTTAGAATACTCATCGTCTGTATGATACTTGTATATATGCTTATATGCTTACTGGCGGGGCACTATGGTTACTCTATATGCTATTACTTGTTATGATTATATGGATTGTATATGGGTAGGGCCTGTTATGTGAGTTAAGGTGGGGCATGTTATACGAGATAAGGCAGGGGCCGTCATACTCATTTGGCGGGGCCCGTTATGTGATATGTATGTATGGTATGCGGTATCTTGGGGAACTCACTAAGCCTTTTGTTTAGAGTTTTCAGTTTATGTTTCAAGTACTTTTGGTTCCCAGGGAAGATCTTGGGATGATTGCATTGCACACACCACATGGTTTCCGCTTTTGTGGTGGTACTATGATTAAAATGATTTTTGACATACTTATTTTCACTTGCATTGTATGGATAATGTTTTGGAATATGGTTTTTATTTAACTTAAAAATAAAATTTTTGGATCATATTTTGGGCGTTACACATTTGGTGTAATTGGAATTAATATGTGAACTAAGGGGCTTATAATTTGTATTCTATATTATATGTTTGGTGAATACAGAGTGCATGCATATATAAGATCAAATTGTAAGACGGTAGGATAGAATGAAGGGGGTTAAGGGGGCTACACCCCATTGCAGGGCCCTAGTGGCAACGACCCTAGTGGGGTCCAAGGATCCTAGTTCCTTTACGGAAAATCCGAATTCTAATGTGTGACTATGGTAAGATTGAAAAATCTCTAAGTTATGGAAACCATTAATTAAGCCCTTAAATATGTGATTCTCTAAACTAATTTAGAAGGCAAAAACCCTAAATTGTTAAAATATAAATATGATTCCTCTATTGAGCCATCACTAGACTTTTCTTAGCTTTCTCTCTTTAAAATGATATTAGAATTTAGTAGAAATTTGGATCACTTTTGTGTGCCTATATTCGTGATTGTCCCTTTTGATTATTTTACATTGGATTTCTTGTAACCCAGGTGCATGGTAGAAATATCAATTTGAAAAGAGAGCTCACGCGATCCATTAGTAATCTGGTTCTCCACCATCACCTTGCTACACCCTGACAATCAAACTGATATTTCTTATCTGGTGGAGATGGTTGAATCCATCCGCAAATTTGACCATTGTTAGGGTGCGAAGTCAAGCTTGGATGTGGAGTCTTATGGCTTACCCTCTTGTATGCGTAAATTGGTTGTCTTTCCTATAATTAGGAAGTGAGTGATTCCCATTCTGTAAGGAACCATTTTGGAAAGTATTAGTTTTAGAAAGAGAAACTAGAAAACCCATTTGTGCTCTTTTTAATTCATACTAATGAAAGCTTAAAAGATTTATTTACTCCATGTTTTCTTGAATTTGTATGATGATTCACTAGAGCTTTCATATTCCGCACATACCATGATAATCAACACCACTACAATTGGTATCAGAGCGGGTATTCTTGATTGGATCAGGAATTGATCCATGATGGCATTCTAGACTTGGTGATTCTTCTTTTTGATCTTTGATCTTCATGATTTAGAGAGTTTTTGGGTTCTAGAAATCGAATTCATCTTTGATTCCATTCATAATTTGATTTTCTTCACTAGAATTCAAGTGATTTTTACTTTCTCTCACTAAAAAACACATTGAAAATGACTTTGTCGCTCTAGAAATTTTCAAGATCTTGTAATCATGGTGGACATGGTGCACTTGGAGTATGGCTCTTGGATTGTTATCATTAAAGATGTCAAATACAAAGTCGATTTAGAACAATTCTTTGGATTAATATTGAAAGGAAGGACGATTGCATGGGATACTTTGATTCCTTTTGGAGGTTTGAAGGATGGTCATGGATGATTGATTTTTCAACCACTTTCGAGGATTGAATTCTTGACAAAAAGTTTCAATAACTTGATGACTGAGAGAGATACAAAGAAAGGAAGAAAAAAGATTTGTTTGATAAGAATTTCATTTCTTTTATTGAAAGCACGAATGATCTTCTTGCTCTTAAGTTTGTTGAAGTTCTAGACAATGGAGCTCGATGTGATGTTATTGAAGTTCATGATAAGAAGATTAAAGCTGATTCTCATGAAGATGAAAAAGTTTTTGCTTGATTGGAGTTCAAACGGATGATATTTTGTGTTCTTGTGATTCATTTGAAGGAATGATTCCTAATCGAAAGTCGGTAATCCAAGAAATTCACAAGTATCAAACTCCAAAACATTTGATTCAAACTCGTAAAGTTATAGTTGTTGAAAGT